GGGGGGGGGGGGGGAAATAGCCTTATCAATTACTTACGAAGAAATAGAAAAGCAGTTGGCCTACCTTGTCTATCCTTGGAAGCCAAGCATGGTCAGTCCTGGTTAGTAGAGGGGAGGCCACCAGAAAATCCCAGGGCCAAGGGGTAGAAGGAAAAGGTGAAAAGCGTTCCAGAAGAAGGCGACGAGAAAACGTTTTGAACCTGTATTTTATTTTGACACAAAATCTGGGGCTCCTGAACTTTATCCCTGGCTTTAGCCAATTTCTTTTTCTAATTCTCTCTTTGACAGTCCCATCATCTCCACATCCAGAGCATCGCCACAGGAAGGCAGGTATGCCGTGATTTCCACCCCTCTTGCCCCGCCTGGATAGATGTCTACCTCTAACCGGAAGTGTAACGGCGGTGTTATACGTCTTTGGCACCTTAGTCCCCACGTGAGCTTCGGCAGGAGATTGGTTTTCGACCCGGCGGCAGCTCTGCGCGTTGCATTTTGGGAAGATGGCGGCGCCCGGTAAGCGAAGTGAGGGCGGTTGCCCGGCGGGAGGCCGGTTGAGCAAGTGGGGCGGCCGGGTGGGGCCTTCCATGGGAACCTCTCCGCGGGAAAGGGCAGTTAAGCACTTCGGCTCGTCAGGGGGCGCGAAGGCAGCTGAGTGCGTCTGCCCCATGTTGCTACCCCGGTGCCTCTGAGCATGTGTGGAGTTTATTCTTCAGATTCCCTCACCCAGAGGAAAGCAGTTGCTCAGAAAAGAAGCGTTCATGGGTGTAGGCAGAATTCCTCACCCTCAAGCAAGCATAAAGTGAAACTTCTGAATGTGCAAAGTTTTATTTTCTGTTTATTTACCAAATTTATATAGTCGCCCATCTCATAGACGTAACTCTGGACGGCGTACAATAAAACAACCAGTTAAGACAAATATAAAACAACAATTAAAAGCAATTTAAATACCAATATAAATAAGACCACAGGAGAATGAACCAATGTAACCATCTTGTGGGCTCCCTATTTTTATCCATTTTTTTTTTTACTCCCTTTTTTACCCATCTCTTTGTGAGGAAAAAAAGTGTTTTAAAAATAGTAGCCAGGGGTCTCTGAGCATGTACAGAGTGCGTCTGCTTTCTGGTGAAAAAAGTTTCTTCCAGTAGGTTGGGTGGGCTATGGGATCTTCTGTACTGAGTCTTCAAGAAAGGTGCTTTGGAATGAGAAAAGAAATACTAGGATCACCTTGTCAGAAACATGCTCATTTCTGCATCTGAAGAAGCCTGAAAAAGAGGAGAAAGTTTTGTTCAAATGAGATATTGCATAAAAATGGCTTGTGCTTCCACTTCAGCTGCACATAATGTATGACTCCAGCCCAGGTGGCTACATCATGGTTCTCTGTGTTGGGCAACGCAGAACACTGGGCTACTTGACTAAACTGTGGCTCAGTTAAATATGCTTAAGGAAGTCATCTGAACACAATACGGTCTCTTGACTTCATATAAGAATAGCAACTCCTAGTTGAAACACCCATTTCAAAAATGTTTGGAAGGGATTGCTGTTGGGTAATCAAGTATCAGAATCTCAATGAGTTTTCAGGGACTAGTGTACATTGTCTTCAGATATTGTGTTTTGCTGCACTTTCAATACACCTTTTATACTTGACCCATTTTCAGGGTTTGTAGTATACATGGAACCATGAACTGTCCAAATGAGCTTGATTCATACATTATGCTAAAGCTTGGAACAACATGCACATTCTCCCAGTTGACTCCTCATAAGTGACTCGTGAGATAGCATGAGAGAGCCAGTTTGGTGCAGTGGTTAAGGCATCAGACTAGAAACCAGGAGACTATGAGCTCTAGTCCCACCTTGGGTACAAAGCCAGCTAGGTGATTCTGGGCCAGTCACTCTCTCTCACCCCTGGGAAGTGGCAATGGCAAACCAGTTCTAAAATCTTGCTAAAGAAACCACAGGGACTTGTCCAGGCAGTTGCCAGGAGTCAACACTGACTTGAAGGTACTATATGTATGTATGCGATAGCATGAATGCCATTGGATTCATGACATAAGTCATAATGTGTTTGCTTAATTTCAGATTAGAGTGTTGTGAGCTATCTTGAGCTATAAACTATGGTTTATAGCTTAGTGTAATATGTTTATAAAAGACCAGAATGGCTCTATTTGTAACAGAGTGGGTAGTTGAGGGCAGCTACGTGAGCCCAAGAGAGATAATTTAAAGATTAAAGATGAGCCCGTGCATGTGCCAGATCACATTTCTCAGTTTGAATCTGAAGTGCTGCACAGCACTCTGTCTTCTTTTCTTGGTGCAGCATTTGCTGGTTGTTTCATATTCATGATGTCCAAATGCATCCTGCCCCCCCCCCCCAAAATGGATCATAGAACAGATTAATCCAGAGTTCTCACTCAAGGCACAAATGATCAGGTTCAAATTATCGTATTTGGACACATTATGCAAAGATCTAGCTCTCTTGGAAAGTCCATAATGCTGGGAAAGGTGAAAGGAAGGCGGAGAAGAGGACAATGAGTTGCAAGATTGATGGTCTTGTTTACCACTGACCATTGGAAGACCTAAAGGGACAGGTTGAGGACACATCATTCTGGATCCCTATGAGTCAACACCAACTTAATGGCATATAATAATTTGATCAATCAAATGCATCCTGTAAAGTGATACCAGTCACAATTATATGCTCTTCTCTAAAGGGCAGTCCTACTATATATTTGTATAAATGTGGCTGCCAAATCATTCTTTTCATTTCTTGGGGCTAAATCTCGTAACAGAGGACTTCAAGGCTTTGTTTTGATTTAACAATGGCATTATGGTTGTACACATCATTTCCTAACCAGTAACTTCTTTCCTTTTGCATTAGGTTTCAGCTTATGTATCCAGAGACAGGATTTGATTTAAAAATAACTTTCCTCACAAATAACAGAATAAGACAGTCATGAAGGTTTTCTGTGGAAGAGCCAATCCAACTACTGGAGCAATGGAGTGGTTGGAGGAAGATGAGAATTATGATTACCATCAGGAAATTGCAAGGTCTGTTGGGATATTTTTTTAATCATAATGTTAGTATGATAATTTAATATAGCATAGTGGCAGCTTTGTTTCAGGCCAGGATGCAGCATAGAAACTGTGTTGGTCGCACTTGTTGATAGCTTTTGGAGAGACAGATTTGGCAGAACACAACTTTCCTGGTCCTCCTTGATTTCTCAGCAACTTTTGATATCCTCAACCATGGTATTCTTCTGGACAAATTCCATGAAATTGGAGTAGGGGGCACTGTTCTTCAGCGGGTCTACTCCTTCCCAAGGGTCCAGTTCCAATCAGTGTTGGTGGAAGAAGAGATATCTCCCTGGAGACCTCTACTTTGTGCAATGCTTCAGGGCTGTCTACTCTCCCCACTTTTCTTTAATATCAACATAAAACCATCAGGAAGGTCATCCATCAGCACAGGATCAGGTATCATTATTAAGGTGATGATAGCCAGTTATATATCTTGGCCCCAGGCTGAACGGGTGATGCAGTAAAGTGGAGGCTGTCAGAGTTTGGAGAGGAACAGACACAGATTGAATCCTTTCAAGATGGAATTGCTTTGGATTTGTAGGCAAATGATTCCAGGGTAACCCCATCTCTGACTCTGAACAAGGTTGTACTCAGAGGTGGTTTGCAATTTGAGGATCTTCCTGGACCCACAGCTGCTGCTTGAGGAGTAGATGGGAGCTGTGGCCACGTGGGTTTTTGTACAGTTACATCTTATGCCCAGATTGCAACCATTTCTGGATCAGGAGGTCTTGCTCATGGTCACCTCCCATTTGGACTTCTGTAGTGCGGTCTACATGTACTGCTTTGGAAAAGCATTCAGAAAGTGCAGCTCATGCAAAATGTGAGGGCCCAGACAATGATGTGTATATCTGGATATAACTGGGTGACCCCCTACTTTGGGACTGCGTTGGTTAGTGGTTTTCTTCTAGGTGCAATTCAAGGTGCTAGTTGAGGCCCTACATGGCTCTGGACTAGGTTATCTAAGGAACCACCTTCTCCCATATTGATTTTGATCCAATTTTGCTTCCTTTTTGAGCATGAGTCCATCTCTCCTCTGTGCTGCCGCACAGGGTTCTGTACATAAATATGATGCTTTTCCTTGTCACTTCATAAGTGACAGTGCAGTCATCACACATGCCTGTTCAGTACCATAATAGGAATTATTTATCCTGTCATTTATTTAGCTCTTTTTTGATAACATGGGCCATCGTTGATAGCTTTCTGAATCTGCACTGTGTTTGAGCTGAAAACTGAATTTTATTTACAGGTCCTGCTACGCAGACATGTTGAATGACAAAGATCGAGTAAGTTATTTATTTGTTTTAGCAGTGTTTGTTTAAATGTTGAAAATGCTTACCTAGCTCCATGAACCTCCACTCTGCAGGTGCCTTAAACTTGTACTCTTTGAGCATCTTGACCAGAGATTCTTTTTCCCTTGTCTAGAAATAAGCCCCAGATTTTCTATTGGATCTGAAAATGTTCCTGTATCTGAATATGCATCTGATTTTGTTCTTGGTGAATTACTAATAGGAGTTATCCTTATTTCTAAAATCTATTACCATTTCTTTAAAA